GGAGGAGTGGGCGGGGCCATCGGGGGTCCCCCTCACAGTCCCTTCCCCCCTTCTCCAGCCCCCCCGACCCCTTACTCACCAGCACTCATCAGCCATGTGTTTCAGCACCAGGGCGAGGGGCAACCATAGAGATACTCTGGCAGCCAGAGCATCTCCATGGAGGACCCAGCCTCCGGTTGCCTCAGGGCATGGTCAGGGACCATGCCCTGCCCCGCTTTTTTATACTTCACTTTTTTTAGACCCCTGGATATCCAGTGGTCTAAATTTCTCCCCGTGCTGCAAGTTTGCAGCACGTTGAACATTTTTTTGTTCCCGCACGTGCCTGTTGCTCCGCCTCAAGGGAGTTTGAGGCAGGGCAAGAAGCACATGCGCGCTCATCTGGATGCACCCTAATAGTTCAGGAAATTCCTTGTGTTCAGATTGATGATTGCAAAAGGTTACACCAGTGATTTTCAACCAGGGTGCCATGCAATTTTAATACTGCTAGGTGTGCAAACATGATTCACAAAATTAAACCAGAGATTTCAAATAGGAGATCATGATGTTAAAAACATTCTGACTCATTATGGTCTTTGAGTTCTTTGCAACAGAAGTATTGCTCTTTTATTTTTCTCTAGTCAAAAAATGAGTGAAAAATAAGAGCTGGGATTTTCTGAGGGGTACCTCAAGCCAAATGAGATGCATCTCAAATATAAAAAGCTTGAGAACCGCTGGGTTAAACATTTTTAGTGGTTTCTTTAGAAATCTTTGTTTCAGGAAAGATGACCTTGAGTAGCATTACTCCTAAATCAAATACAGAATTGCTTAAAATAGTAAGAAAATAAGGCAAAGCTGTTTCATAGTACTTTATTTGTTTAAAGAGCCATGCAAACATTATAAATTAATCTTAGGGGTATATAAATAATAAACCCCAGTTGTTGAAATACCTTTAAGAATAAATAGTGTTTGCATAAGATACTGCCTTCTTAAAGGGTAAAAGAACTTCAGTTCTCTGCTGTTTTCCTCAATTAATTGAAAGATGGTTTTGTTGGAAGCGTTTTTCCATAAACACTGGAGTTCAATACCATACACAGAACTTAGAGTTCTCCATGCATTTGTTACGTAGAATGAATTGGAGATGAACAGAATCCTTTGATTAAGCAGTAAGTAATTCTGTTCCTAACTGCAAATGAAAGAATAACTAAAACAGGATATCACTGTTCTGTTATGTGATGTTACATAATAAAGCAGCTATGCATTCATCCTTAAAAAAGTGACTGTTTTTAAAAATTAACAGTAAAAGATATGTCTTTACAGTGCAATGCAGGGCCTTGTAGTGATACCTGGGCTAGCTCTATATAGACTGGTATACTATGTAAGACCATCTAGAGCTGTGGTCACCCACCAGTGGATCTCAATCCACTGCTAGATCTTGGAGCCTCTTGCAGTAGATCTCAGAGCCTCTTGGAATCAATCCACGGCTGGGGTGTGGGGCTGAGTGCCCACGTACATGCATGCATGCACCCCAGCCCAGCAGGTCAGTCCGTGGGGAGGCGGGGGAAGTGGGGGAGCTAGATTGAGGCCCTTGCGGTGAGGGACAGTGCCGCAGAGGTGGGAATAGGGGTAAGTTGGGACTTGCCTGCTGTGGAGGTTTTCCCCCAAATAATTTTTTCTCTCTCTGCCTTGATCTGTGCCTTCTTCCCTCCTGACAGACTTACCTGCTGGGTGGGAGAGGAGGGGAGAGAGAGCAGGGGAAGGGGTGGTGGTGGCACATGGTAGATCTTGGGTTGCTTTTAAACGCCAAAGGTGATCTGCTACTTAAAAAGGTTGGAGACCACTGATCTAGAGATACAAATTTGTGTCCTGATACCAATACAACAATGCTAGCCTGAGCAGGCTACACAGCTGATGAAGCTATACTGCTTCTAGAGCTAGCTTGTTTGTCTTTACCCAGTACTGAATTGCACTGTGTAGATGTGACAATGTCCTTGGCACTCTGCTTAACGTCTTTTCTGCTCAGACTAATAAAAACAAATCAGAATTAATAATGAAGTTCCTGAATAGAAATAGGTCTATGCATCTGCATGAACCAGGATTCAAATACTTAAACACCTGATAGATGTGAATTTAATTGCAGTGTGGAATGGTAGGACATTCAATTTTGGGCATCCATCACAGAATTTGTCAGATCCCAATCACGCAACAGGCAAGTGGGGCGCCCAGCATCAGAGACTCCATCCCCAAAGCCAGGCTCCCACCACTTTGGATACTCAAAAGGCACTGTGGGAAGCATGGTATCAGGGACCTGTCCCTAATACCATGCTTCCCACAGCACTCTTTCAGTTTGTCAGCTGATGCATTCACAAACTTCAGCCACATGGTGTAGCCTTGTTGTGGGGTTGTACCCTGCAGTTTTCATCTTGGTGATAGGCTGTCAACCTGCTGGCAAGCTGAAAGGGAAGCCTGGGAAGCATGGTATCAGGGACCAGTTCCTGATACCATGTTTCCCATGGCATCCTTTGAAGATCTAGATGGGTAGGGAGCCTGGCATTGGGGACAGAGCTGAAGAGCCAGCTGTTGGGCCCCTTGTGCTCCAGCACTTAAAACTCCCCAGCACATAAAGCTCCCTAATCCCTAGCTGCTAGTGTTGTGGAAATAAAACATAAAAAATCCCTAATCTCCTTTGTTTTCTGTTTCAGAAAATCAGATCTCCAGTTTACTTTGACTCTCTATTTAATTTTTATATGTATGCAACTTATCCTAGTGATAAATATATACATTATATGTAAATGTATGTGCATAGCTGTCACAGGCCAGCTGGGCACTGTGAGTGTATCAATTTTGGATTGAGGAGCCAAAGTTGGGAGTGGAATAAAGGCAAATTTATTATAGCTTACACACACACAACAGTTAACAGAAAGATAAATGCGATAAGCAGATAAGGCAATACAAAAGAGCTAATAGTAAAATAATAACAACAGATAATAATAACAGATAGATAGATAGATCAATCTGTCACAGGCCAACTGGGCACTGCGAGGGTATTAGCCACACTGGGGTGTTCAAAACAACAAATAGACAGACATGGGTTGGCAATTTATCGATAGTCCCTCAATGCCAGGTGTGCGCCAAGTGGTTCCAGCGAAGTCAGGCGTCCCTGAAGATCAACGCTGTCAGAGGGCTTACCGGGGAAGGGCCCTTGCTCAGGATCCGATCCTCACTCACACCGGGAGTCCGGGGTCCAGGCGTGGGACAGAAATGACCGTTCTGTTCCCTCCTTCCTGCTGGTTACCTGTTGCATGTGTTTTTTATACCTAGTTTTATGCTAATCTGTTGGCTTCAGGGCCACTCAAAATCTTGCCCTATAGCTGTTACCCTATGGGATTGAAAGGTGTTAAAATCATCACAAAAATTTACTACCCAGGCTCAGGTTTATCCAATAAGCAAATTATGATGCAGCACATTTAGGTTTGAAATTGACATCGCTCCGCCTAAATCCCAACCCCTTTTAGGCTTCAGTTGAATATGCTTTCTTGGGATACCTCTTC